ACTATTCGTATCTGGTTGATTAAACTAAACTACAAACAATATTTAAAAATCAAAACCTTTTAACCCTTTGGCAAAAAGGGCCCATAAAATTTTTTCTGGAGCTCTAATTACAAGCAAAAAAATATATTTTGGCTATTTTCAATTATAAAAAACAGTCTAATAATTATTAAAATATATCTGTTAGATTATCGGAATTAGATTTTAACTAAAATATAAGATCCAAAAAGTGCTTTGAAAATTTTTTTTTCTCATTCATGTTCAAACATTTATCAATAATTGATTTTGTAAATTAAAGAAATTTCAATGATGAATAACTGTTTCTCTTAGATCTGAATAACTACAAACAAGTGCAAATTTGAAAAATTATTGTTTGGAACTGAGCCGTATTTGGAAGATTTTCCCTTTAATGCAGAAAAAGACACTAATGTTTCATAATTGCTATAGTTCATAACTCTAAATTATTAAAATGCTAAAATAAATATATTTCTCACTTTATTTAAACTAAAATTATACAAATTGATTAAAAAAGTATGAAAAATGTTTAATGAAAGCTCTGCGTTAAGATTTTAAAAATACCAATTGAAGCAAAATATATTTCTATTTCAGAATAAACGAAAAATTAGGCAACTGCATAAATTAAACTCAAACCAGAAAAAAAAAATTAAAAGAATTAATCATAAATAATCAAGAAAATTTTACTAATAAGCAAAATTAATCATTGAATGATCAAAAACAGACTTTTTAATCAGCTGACAAGGCAAAGTGGCGGGGGAGGTCAAAAGAGGGATGGTCGCAGTTAAAAAATTCAAAAGGCGTAGGCGTCTGCGGCCTGCGTGCGTAGCAGGAAGTGTCGGGCCCCTTTGGACATTGAGGGGAGGGAGTCAAATGAAAGGGGTACACATCAGGAAGGTCAGTGTGGGAGAGGTGGATTCAGTGGCGTGTCCATATTTGGTTTACGATTATTGCGAAATAATGCCAAGTTTGCGGTGTTTTTTGCAGAGACAGCGCTAACAAACAGAACTTGCATCAGCGACTTTCTCGTTCCCTATTGGATGAAACAATGAGGAATGAGTCAGATCATATATCTTAAATTTTTAAATTAGTTTACGAATGCGAATGCAATAGTTTCAAATTTATTTATAATCATTGGGTGTATTAGAATTTCAACTCTCAGGTAAGCTATTATAAAATTAAAAAAATTTATTAAAATAAGCGGTTAAATTTAAAAATTGTTAGTGAATGCGGTTAAATAAAAATAAAAATTGCTTTTAGTCGAATACACAGAGTCAAATTATATAGTTAAAATATTATTTCTTCTTTTAACAACTGCTAAGCTATATCGGAAATTTAAAATCGTGATATATCATTAAAATGTATCGCGATAATTTTTAAATTATTCCGTTTTACATTTTTTTTTCTTTTTACTAAGGATGTTACTTAAATAAGAAAATCAAATTTTTTTTTCAAAATTGTCGCAAACAATTTTAATTATCATCACAAAAGAAATCTAGCTGCATAACTAGCATATTCCAGATAACGTTAGCAATAGTTATTACGTTATTATCATCGTATACAATATTTAGCGTTATGCATACAGTTATCGTATTCGATCATTAATATTGTGGGTAATAATTATTGTATACTCTTTATTTATCAAAAACATGATATTCACGATGCATCATGAGTATACACTTTAAATTCACGTTACCGAAATTTTAAAAAAAATTCAGACTATCGATGTAACACTTCAATAAAACGCAATTACAATAGACTAAAAGTTTTAATCTAAAAAAAATTACAAAAAAACTCCATAATCGCATGAGTGTTATTATTTAAAGTTACAGTTATCAATAAATAAGTAAGTAAAAAAATAGCATTTGTGTATTAAAAAAGTAATAAAACTGCATCAAACATAGTTGTTTAAAGTTATAAATGTAATGAAACAGAATTTAAAGACACTTTAATCTATGTTGTTTTCCATAAAATCGTTCTTACGAAGTGTAGTGCTCCCTAGTTCGAAATTTAATATTTTTCATGTAATACTCATATCTGAATTCTGAAGGGGAAAAATGTATAAATTAGATGCATCAAATATTTTTTTAAAATTGAAAATGAAATTACTATTCATTTGGAAAAGAAAAAAAAAACACATTCATTTTTTTTTTCCTGCAGACGATTCTTTTTGAAGATAAAGAAGACGAGAAAGACATCAAAAGATCTCAAGCTGATAGCACGATTTATCGTTTGCGAGAAAGGAGAAGAAAAAAAATTCTTTAAAGTTATGGTGACATTTTGCACTGAAAAAAGGGGTCTGTTTTAAAAAAAAATATTATAAAGAGGGATGAAAGATATTGCTGGAGGGATAGCAGGTGAAAGAAAGGGGATAAAACACTACATCAGCCTATCCTCATCTATATATTCTTCAAATACATATCACCTAGAACACCAAACGATACAAGAGAAGAATTTTCTCCTGGTAACTTCATCTCTAAGTTTGTCCCCCCATTTCTTTATTTTTTCTCCCCTCCCCGGGGTTGACATCCACCACAAGTCAAAGTGAGTTAAGATGGCTGCAAGGGCAGCGCAATAATTATGTCATCTTTGTCGGGAGGGGGTACTTCTATCCACACAGGGGATGTTCAGGGAGAAAAACGATGACAGAGGAAGGGATAGAAGGGAAAAAAATGGGTGGGAAAAAATATTAGAAAGGGTGGAGTAGGGCGCATGTTGCTATAGCAACGACTAACAAGGACTAGGGAATATTAGTATGTGAGATATTTTTTTCTCTCTTGTATTTCTTTTTATCTTTTTTTTTTCTTTTCTTTTTTTTTAACGTTTCCCTTGTTGAGAAATATAAGCGATCGATAAGTACATTTTTTTCCTCGAATCGCCCCCGAATAAATGAAGTTTTTTTTATATTTTTTATTGGGGGATAAAATCGTTCCATCCCCTATACTTCCATATAAAAACTAAAGGGGGAAAAATTATAAAAAGATGAAAAAAATTCTCATCTGTGTGGGAAGTGTTTCGAATTTCAACGTGTTTCTTTATTTCTCATTTAGTTTTTTTTTTAATCCTTTTTTTTTTAATTTTTTTTTTTACTTTGCATTCCGTTAGTGAGGAATAAAGTTGTTAAAGAAAATAATTCGGAAAGCCTATCGGAATGAATTGAAAATTAGAATATAAAGAGATAGCAAGAAAAAATATTTTCTTAAGGCAGATTTTCAATTATTAACAAAGGCGCACTGGTATAAAAATATTTTTAATTTTATGTTGTAAAAAATGAACACTTTTTTGTCATACTGAAAAAAAAAAGATTAAATAAAAACTATTCGTATCTTTCAAGCGAAAGAAAATGGCTATACTTATCATTTTCATTATTGTTTTCAAAAAAAGAAAATTCTTAATATTTTAATAAATTTTTGTTTACTTAAACGCTTACTAAATGTATAAGGTGCTTTCGAAATATATTTCCAAACCAAGGGTCAGTTTAGGAAAAATGTAGGTCTATTGACGGACCCATTAAAAAATATAAATCGAACCCTTCACAAAATATTTTACCGCAAAAACAAACTATTCATATTTTTTAACGTAAAATATGAACCGTCCTCAAATATTTTATCAGAAAAAAGAATCCTTTACAATATTTTTTTTTTTTAAAAAAGCTGCACAAAATTCTCCATTTCAAAAATGGTTTTTAATTCCTAATTTTAAACCACAACTTCTTGAAAGACACAGTTTTTTAGTTTTTTTTTCTCAGGAAACTATTAATTATTATTTAAAAACAGGAAACTATTAATTACTGTTGCTAAATTATTATTTTGTATTTTTCTATGAAATTCTGTATACTAAATACAATTATGTTTCATTTTTAACCAATAGTTAACTAAAATAATCCCTCATACATAGTTTACACGTATTAAAGTACACGTATTATCAGGACACTATTAATTATTATTTAAAAACAGGAAACTATTAATTACTGTTGCTAAATTTTTATTTTGTATTTTTCTATGAAATTCTGTATACTTAATACAATTATGTTTCATTTTTAACCAATAGTTAACTGAAATAATCTCTCATACATAGTTTACACTTATTAAATTTATGAACGCCATTATTGTCAATTTCATTTTAAAGTTTAACTACAGATAGACTATCATAATCATATATCTCTTTTTAGACCATTCAGTAGTAACTAAGATGTATTTCGTTCTTTTGGCAATTATTTCGTCATGAAATCACATGATTATTGACGACTTTCAAATATTTGAGGCAACTCTTTTCTTAGCGCATTTATGCTTTGAGTTCTCGAGCATTTTCATCAAATTAGAAATCTATTCGCGAAGTATGGCGAATTACGAAAGTTTGACTTACGAAACTTGTCATTGATTCGAATCATGCTAATAACTCAAAATTCAATAATTTATATTTCTTTCATTTTGTGTTGTACTTCCTACTCAATTGAGTTAATTGAAGTACAGCATAGTGCTTAAATTATATTTTTGAAAAGATTCTTATCCTTAAAGATAGTGAAGATAGATAGTAATTTTTTCAAATTGAAGGTCTAAAATGGAGTATATTTCATGCTTTTGAGTCATCTGAGTATATTGAGTAGTCTTGAGTTTGAGTATATTTCATGCTTCTACAGTGTGCAAAATTTTTACAGCGTGCAAT